ACGTGTTTTGGATCGTCTTCGATTTTTACCTATTCAAAAAGATGGATCAAGGAACCTGTACCAAATTTTGTGTGAAAAACGAAATTAAGTGCGCGGATGCATTCCGAATGTTGAATGTGCCATACGGAGAAGCTACCTTAGACAGAAGCAACGTTTATCGGTGGTACAAAATGTTCTCAGAATGTAACAAAAATTGGCTTTTGCACCACGATAACGCCCCTGCTCACACATCGTTGCTTGTTCGCGACTTTTGGCCAAAAACACCACACCAATGATGCCGCAGCCACCGTATTCCCCAGATCTGGCCCCCTGTGACTTTTTCTTGTTCCCTAAACTGAAGAGGCCCATGAAAGGACGACATTACGCTTCTCTTGACGAGATAAAGATGGCATCGAAGGAGGAGCTGAAGAAGATAAAAAAAAAAGATTTTTTGAAGAGCTTCGGAGATTGGAAAAACCGTTGGCACAAGTGTATAATATCTCATGGGTATTAATATTCACCGATCCAAACGGGGTTAGATCGCCGAAATGACAGCCCATGGTCGGATGAAATCCGAGTCAATTCCGGTACGTAGAACCGGCTGTCGTGGGAATTGAATTGTCCTGCATGCAATGAGTCTCCGCATGACACTGACCACCTCTTTGCATGCCCAACCAACCCCACCCATCTAACACCCCTTTCCCTTTGGTCCGACCCCGTCGAAACAGCATGTTTCCTGGGCCTCCCGTTAGATGACATCGACGACAACACTGATAACCCTCACCATCCCAACGGGGACTGATAATCGTTACAACAACAACAACAACATCTCATGGGTATTACTTTGAAGGGGACAAAATAGATATTCATGAATAAAAAATAATTTTCGAAAAATCACAAAATTCGCGATACTTTTTGAACACACCTCGTAGTTCAGCGAACTAAAAGACAGCGGCTATGCTGGCTAGGTCATGTTGCCCGAATGGACGAAAACACTCTAGCTCTGAAAGTATTCGACGCAGTACCCGCCGGGGGAAGCAGAGGAAGACTAGGTCATGTTGCCCGAATGGACGAAAACACTCCAACTCTGAAAGTATTCGACGCAGTACCCGCCGGGGGGAAGCAGAAGAAGACCTTCACTCCGTTGGAAGGACCAAGTGGAGAAGGACCTGGCGCCGCTTGGAATATCCAATTGGCGCCACTTAGCGAAAAGAAGAAACGACTGGCGCGCAGTTGTTAACTCGGCTATAATCGCGTAAGCGGTGTCTACACCAATTAAGAAAAACAAGAATTATAATTATAGTTTTTAATTTTTTACGTTTAATGAGTAACACACAATCTATACAAAAGCTGCTAATTTTATTGATTTTAAAGTACTTAATATCGCGACTAAACTTCAACCAAAAAGAAGTAAATAAAATTACATTAATTATTGTGTAAATGAATTATATGTATTAAATGAATGAATTAAAAAAATATTATACAATTTTCTCATCGCATGTCTCTTACATTTCGCGCTCATTTTGCAAAGCTCACTAACTTTCAAATGATTTTATCTATAACTGAATGTGTTTTGTTTTTAATTTCTAATATTTTTGATAGGTAACATGTCACTAACTTATTTCTAAATAAAAAATTTCGATACTGTAAAAAGTTTCGCTATAAAATGTTGTCAAATATGCACAAAACTTGAAAAATTTGAGTGGTAAACTTGACTGATACATATATTCGGCATACAGTTTGCTTTATCTATATTTTCGTACCATCTCGGCTGTAAGATTTTATGTCTCTGGCGTATTTAGTTATTGATTTATCGACATCTTTTAGTAATTTTTAGGTCTCGTTATATGGGGAGTAGACGGGATTATCTTTCGATTTCATCCATTTTTAGTGTCGGTAAGGATACTTAAGAGATTTGTTATTGCAGCCTAAGTCGTTTAGAAGATATGTATATAAAACAAATTAGAGGGCGCGCGCTCTTTTTTATTTTTAACCCACAAGTGCCTCATATTTCTGCAACCTTTTGTGCCAAGTTACAGTTTACCTAATTTAGTGTTTAGTTATGGAGCTTTATAGGTTTTCGTTTAACGGCGTTTTATGGGCGTGGCAGTGATCCGATAATTTTTTCATTAAAAAATTTTGTGTGTTAAAATTTATCTCGGTATTGGGATTAATATTAAATTTTTATTTTTAATCCAAGAAGTTTGGGTTTAAAATATGATAATTAAAAATATATTTCGATTTGAATTAAGTACGCAAACGGGAAAAAATTTATTTTAAAACATATGTCTTTCTATAATTCTTAATTATATGCTTGAGATCATCCATATTTGAGAAATAAATTCGCAAAAAAAGTATTTTTTTTTTTTACCTTGAAACCCTATCCTCGGCCAATCAATAACTTCAAGTTCAATGTACGAAAAATATTTTTTTGTTAACCGCAAGTGTTTTGGGGTTGAAAAAGGCTATCTTTTTAAATGTACTTCTCACTCAGCAAAAGGTAGCATAGTCACTTCATCTATTTTAAAGATGTTTGTTTATACTTTCCTTACTTCAAAATATTGGTCCAACACCAGGCCAGGAAAAACACCTCACACCATAATGTATGGTATATGTAGCACCAGAAAACATTATTGAAGTAAATTGGAGAAATTCTGCCTGGTTGACAATCCTTGACTGTAAAAGAATTCTGGTCTGTTCCAGTTGCGTAGACTATCGTGGGTCCGACGTGACACCATAATGTTCCCAGGAAATTTGTATGGTTTTCGTTCGACCAAGGTACATACATTTTGGCACCTTTGAGAATTTGCGCCCCTGACCAATCGTAGGAGAAAACAATTGCATATTTAGCTCAGTTCCTATTACTGTTTTGTAGGCCATTAGGAATTAAAAACGAAGTTTGAAGAATCTTACGCTAACTCTTTTATTAGTTTTCGATTTTGTTTTGTAAATTCATTGCTCCTCTCATATTAACTTAAATGACTTTCCTTTTTATACAAATACAATGCTGAAATATGCTAACAATGTATATATTGTAGATGATAATTAACACACTAAGTATTTTTATTTACCATTAATAATAATTTTTCGTTTAAGAAAAAATTTAATTACTTATGTTAACTACAGCTATAGTTTCCTCTGCAAATGGTAAACACCTTGCCGTGGTGCAGGGGCTTAAGTCGCAAGGCATACTCGGCACTGCCCAACCGGTGTGGGTGGTGTCAGTTGGCACAGCCCATGCAGGTTGTCGGGTGCCGCATGCTTACGGCAATCAAGAGCTACCACCTCCTAATCCAAGGTGTTATGCGACTCCCGTGCCCATTGGACGATTTGCAGCCATGAGGTAAATTCGACTGTATTTTAACGAAGCCTTCTCAACACCGGGCCGAATTGGGAAGTAACGGTGGTCTTACCGCGTCATGGAGCTCTGACGCGGTGGACC